AAAGAAAGAAAGAAATTAGCTGGGCAGCCGGGAATGGTGGTTCTCACCTGTGTTCCCAACAGTTTGAGAGGCCAAGGCAGGTAGATCACTTGAGGTCAGGAGTTTGAAACCAGCCTGTCCAACACGGTAAAACCCCATCTCTACTAAAAATACAAAAGTTAACTGGGCGTAGTGGCCTGTGTCTGTGGTCCCAGCTACTTGGTAGGCTGAGGCAGGAGAATCACTCGAACCTAGGAGACAGAGGTTGCAGTGAGAAGAGATCCTGCCACAGCACTTCAGCCTGGGCAGCCAAGTGAGATTCCATGTCAAAAAAAAAAAGAAATTTTTCAGGGATGGTGGCATGCGCTTGTAGTCCTAGTTACTCGGGAGACTGAGATGGGAGTATTCCTTGAGCCTGAGAGGTCAAGGCTGTAGTGAGCTGTGATTGTGCCACTGCACTTCACATTACTCTCCAGCCTGGGTGACGCAGTAAAACCCTAACTCAAAAAGGAAAAAAGAGGCAGGGTGAGGGGTACCAGGCACAGTGGCTCATACCTGTAATCCCACTTTGGGAGGCTGAGGTGGGCAGATAACTTGAGGTCAGGAGTTGGGAACCAGCCTGGCCAACGTGGGGAAACCTTGTCTTTACTAAAAATAACAAAAATTAGCCAGGTGTGGTGGTGCATGCCTGTAGTCCCAGCTACTCGGGAGGCTGAGGTGGGAGAATCACTTGAACCCAGGAGGCAGAGGTTGCAGTGAGCTGAGTTGGCACCCCTGCATTCCAGCCTGAGCGACAGAGCAAGACTCCATCTCAAAAAACACAAAAACAAAAAGAAGGAGAAAAGGAATAGCCTACAAAAGAGAGCTTTTGGAGGAAGATTAAAAGAAGTTGCTCACTGGGTACAGTGGCTCATGCCTATAATCCCAATACTTTGGAAGGCTGAGGCAGGAGAATCGCTTGAAGCCAGAAGTTCACAACCAGCCTGGGCAGCATAGTGAGACCCTGTTTTGTTTTGTTTTTTTAAGGTTGTTGCTAATGGGTATAAAAATACAGTTAGATAGAAGAAATATGTTCTAGTATTCAATAATACAGTAAGGAAATTATAGTTAATAATTTATTGTATATATACCTTTCATGAGAGTTTCTTCACTTCTATAGTTTTGAAAAGACATCTCAGGGCCGGGTGTGGTGGCTCACGCCTGTAATCCTAGCATTTCGGGAGGCCGACATGGGTGGATTATCTGAGGTCAGGAGTTCAAGACCAGCCTGGCCATCATGGTAAAACCCCATCTTTAAAAAAAAAAAAGAAAAGACATCTCTATCCTGTATCTTTTTCTCTGCATTACATATCTGTAATTAAAAAGTGTTTGTGTTTGTTTCTTTTGTCATTGCATAGTTACTCTGTTCATGGACCCAGGCATGAAGAATCTATAATGAACCTAATCCAGAAGGAAGTGGAGAAATGTGACTCTTTCAGTGGTTTTTTCATCATAATGAGCATGGCTGGGGGCACAGGATCAGGGTTAGGAGCTTTCGTTACACAGAATTTACAAGATCAATATCCAAACTCATTGAAAATGAATCAGATTATTTGGCCTTATGGAACTGGTGAGGTATGGACATGTTAATTGAAAAGTTTATGTTTTATATTCTTTGCAGTAGAAAGAAATGTGGGTAAAAGATTACTCTTACCTTTTCATTGGAAATGGTAAATTATGGCTTCCATAATGGTTATATAATATGGTACTTTCATGAGTAATTCATTTAACTTTT